GCTTTGCCATGAGGACTCGCCGCGGCACCGTTCTGCGGCCGCCGGCCAAGCCCGCCGAGGAGGAGGATGGCGGGGAAGAGGAGCTCGGCGTCCTGGCAGAGGAGGCGGAGGAGGACTTCCAGGAGGCGCAGTTCCAGGCGGTGATGGCGGCCCTGGAGAGCGGGGAGGAGGCTGGGGACAGCGGGGAGGAGGAGGAGGAGGAAGAAGTGCTGGGGCTGCAGCTGCCCGAGGAGGACAGTGAAGAGGAGGAGGAGGATGGACTCGGTGAGGAAGAAGGGGAGGAGGAGGTACAAGGAGTGAATCTTTACGTGGACCATAGTGCTGAAGAGGATGTAGGAGAGGAGGAGGAGGATGGACACGATGAGGAAGAAGGAGAGGAGGAGGTACAGGGACTAAATCTTTATATGGACCATAGCGCAGAAGAGGATAAAGGAGAGGAGGAGGAGGAGGGAGAAGGTGAAGAGGAGGAGGAAAATGAGCTTGAAGATGAGGTTGAAGATGAAGATGGGGACCTGTCCATGGAAAGCGACTTGGAGGAGCGCCACCAGGACACCGGCCTCCCCCATGAGCTCTCCTGGGGCCAACGCAAGCAGCTCTACTACGACACAGACTATGGGAGCGATGCCCAGGCCAAAGGCAAGCGTAGGCAGCAAGAAGTTGATGCTGAGGAGGAGGAAGAGGAACAGGAGGCTCAAGTGATCCAGAGACGGTTGGTGCAGGAATTAAGGGAAGATGATTACGGGCTGGATGTGATCCAGGGTTATCTGGCTGAGCAGCAGAAAGCCCACGATAGCAAGGGACAGAAGATTGACAAAGATTTGCAGGCCCTTTCCAAGAAGGAGCAACTGAAGCTGCTGAAGCAGGAATCCCCTGAGCTCCTGCAGCTGATTGAGGACTTTGAAGTCAAGCTCATGGAGCTCAAGGACGAACTGCACCCGCTGCTGCAAATGGTCAAGCAGGGCACTATCCCGCAAGGGAAAGGCAGTCGCTATTTGCAGACCAAGTATCATCTCTACTTGAATTACTGTGCCAATATCAGTTTCTATTTGCTTTTGAAATCCAAGAGGATGTCGGTTCATAGTCACCCCGTGATTGAACGGCTGGTTGCTTATAGAAACATAATCAATGACTTAGCTGTTATAGATCAAAAGTTATCCTCACAAGTTCGTATGCTTTTGAAAAACTACTACGACAAGAAGGAAGATAAAGTACAGAAGGAGAAGAAGTTTGCGGTGTTTCTCCCACTGGATGTTAAGAAAAACAAACCAAAACGTGCTCCTGTGCTTGCTAATGGCCAAGCTACTGCTGAGGAACCGTCAGATGAGTCTGAGCTGGACGAAGAGGCTGCTCTAAAATACTATCAGGTGATGGAGGAGAAGTTGAAACTCAAGAGGAAGAGAACTGAAGACCAAGAGGCGCTTGAAGAAGAAGCTACGTTGGAAGGAGAGGATCCAAATAAAAAGAGAGGTGTGACCTACCAGATGATCAAGAACAGAGGCCTCACGCCCAAGAGGAGGAAGATCGATCGCAACCCCAGGGTCAAGCATCGGGAGAAGTTTCGGCGAGCCAAGATTCGCCGCAAGGGCCAGGTGCGTGACGTTCGGAGGGAGCTGCAGAGATACGCCGGGGAACCGTCTGGCATTCGCGCAGGAGTTAAGAAGAGCAGGAAGCTTCAGTGATCCTTGTTTGGCTCCTTTTCTGAGAGCTGCAAGTAGCTCTACTGAATATAATAAAAATTTTTATAAAAGATACTGTGGTGTTTTTTATCCTTAAGAAAACTGGGGGTGGGGTGGTATTGGTTTTCTTCAGAGGATGCTTTTCAGAAGGTGTCACCTCTAAAAGCAGCACAGGGCCTTTTCCTCACCCAGCCTGTGTGTTAAGATGTTTTATTCTGTTGTCTTGCCGTACTGGAAATAGTGGTGTTGAGAGGCTGCAAGGGCTGTGTCAGGCGAAGGGAATGAAGTGGTGCTGACAGGGAGAGGGAACGCTGGGACCTCCGGAGGGCTGGTGGGGGTGGGATTTGTGCAGCTGTCACCGCCTTCTCCTTTGTACTCTTCTTTTGGTCCATCCTTTTTCTGTGTTGAGCTGTAGAATGAGATGTGTGTGGTTACAGTGTTTCTCTAATTCCTTTTCTGATTAACTCCTTGAGCTTATTCGTTTAAGGACTGGGTATTTTTAGGCTCGCTTAAATCTTTCTACTTCTGTAACTGAGCAAAAAAGCTATTGCTTAAATCCCATATGGCCTGAAGTACCGCTTCCCCTCCGAATTCAGTGAGAAGCAAAGCAAGGAGTTCTCTGCATTTCATAGTTGTTTGTATCTGTGATAAAAACATTCACTTCATCTGTAATAAATATGTTAACTTGTCTGCTGCTATAGGTCTAATATAGCATTTAATACAGGACAGATGGGTAAGGTGCAATGTCTTCAGTTTGAAGGTAAGCTTTCCAAATGTTTCCATTACTTCCATGCCTTCTGGTGAGATAACACATTGAACCCCACACTGAAGTTCTTGCTGGGGGCTGACTGAATGGCCAGTTGCAGTTCAGGTTGTAAAGGAGGAATGACTGGTTAATTTTTCTTAAAAGTTTAACAAATGCTGTCTCAGGTGAGGCCTGTGCTTGTGTCTGGGACAGGTTTCAGGGAGCCCATGCCTGTGTTCCCGTGTTAAATCACTTCAGGGGAATAATTGTCAATAAATGCTATTTCATGTTATGGAAGCACTGGTGTATCTAGGTGGTTTGGTTTGGGTTTTTTGTTTGTGGTCAGGTGGTTTTTTTTGTTTGTTTGGGGTTTTTTTGTGTGTGATAGTCTTGGGGGAAGCCAAAATACAAGTGTGTGTTCTTGAACCTGTGACAGGCTAGATGCTGTCATTCAAACATGCAGGTGCTCTGAAATGTGCTTCTATAGGTTTTGATGTAAAACTTTACACTCTTGGCCTGTTTCTGCCAGGAACATGCTGTTAATTGCTGACTGGAGAATATTTTGTTAATTTTCAAAGCTGAATGTTAAAGGGAGAGTAGAAAAACAGTAAACTTAAGCCAGACAGATTGCAACAGAAGTAAAGGGACTCTTTGTAGTCCTTGTATGTCCCAGATCCATGGGATGTGGAGCTATGCAGAGCGATTTTGGAGGGGATCTGGTATAGTAGGCAGATGTATAGGACAAAATAGTGAAATGACACGTTCTGCTGACTTCAGTGGCCCTGCATTTGTTTGCCCCCTGCTGCTTATGGACCAAACAGCAGTTAAGTGCTGCATCATCATAATAAAATGCTCCAGAGAAGCAGGCTGCGAAGCAGTGGGAATTGATCTCCATTAAATTGCTTGGGAGTTCTTTCTCTGCCTGTAGAGCCACGGCATTTTGCACAGAGAGAGGGGTAATGGAAACTACTGTTGACAGCAGCAGAGAATAAAAACGTAGTGTTTCAGGTCAGTGCTGGGACTCGCTGCCTGTGCTGGTGGCAGGTGTCTCTGTGGGAAGAGGAAAGGCTGCAGGTAAGAGGAGGAGTGAGGATTAATTGGTCACACCCCAAAGTGGCTGGGGCTGAGTCTATATATGCTTTTCATGTGGCAAAATCCTTGCAAAGGAGAGGAAGGATGGATGTTAAGGTCAGAAGAATGTCCTGGGCCACGGAAATTAATGCAGACATGGCACAAGGGAGCTAGGGCTAGGAGGGAGTTAGAGCTCTTCCTGAAACTACACCTTTTATTAACTCTGCGCTGGGGTCAAGATGGGGGCTGCCACTGATAATGCTGAGATACGCTCCTGAGGCTTTGCACAGAGGTCACTACAAGGTAACATACTGAGGGGAAAAAAAGCAGCTTAGGTGCTTTTTCTGGGGAGGAATGGTGTTGCATAACAGGCATTACATGGGATGTGGAAAATACCCAGCAGAGATGACAATTGATCTCATTACGATGGCTCAAAGAGCTAACAATCTTTGGTGGATCTGCAGGCAAGCTGTAACTATCCAAGGTGGCTGTGTGTTCCCTTGAAAAGCTTTAGGTAGCTGGGAAGCAAAATTCTGGCAACTTCCATGTGAGCAATAAATAAGGGAAATAATAAATTAGTGTGCCATCACAGATGCGCTCCCTGGAATCGCTGGGATGAAGGCTGAAGGCAAGAGGGAACGCAGCCGGCAGATGGCACAGCGCGTCTCCCCGCACTGCTGCGCCAGCCCGGTCTAATAAAGACTGAACATGGCATTATGTTCAGTTGGTTAGTTCAGAGATTGGACAAAGCCATCAATAGTTCTTTCCCATATGGTTTTATTGCCCTGATGGAGTGATCAGGGGAAGGCTGTGATTATTAATGTCATGGGAGGGAGGGGGCCACTGTAATGTTGCTCTAAGAAATACTTCTTGGAGGAATGTTTTGTGCTGAAGGGAAATTCCTGATGGTAAGTAGGTTCTGAAGATCCTTATGAAAATGGACACGGGTGAAATAGGGAAAGGACCACAGATGGTGGTCAGGAAGATAAGTCAGAAGTGGAGCAAGGTCACAGTTAAGGCTGTTTGGTTTTTTTTTTTCCTTCTTCCACTAGTGTTTTTGGAGGCGGTGCTGACACTGCCAAGTGACATGCTTCAGCCATGGCTTGGCACTTGTCCTCGCCAGCCTCCTGCTTAGCAAATGCTGACTGCCCTGCTCAGAAAGGACTGGTGGTGGGATGTGCCTCAGCAGCACCTAGCACAGGTTAGAACTTACACGCTCAGACAACAGCTGTATTTGACTGCACGGCCGTGGAGGCACCTGCCTCTGTGCCCTTTGCATCTGCTCGCTCGGAGCACGGTGATTCGATGTGCACTTGCACATAAATGATTTGGATTTCAGAAGTACATAGGCCAGTGTGTAGAAAGCTCTAAGGAGAGGTATGAGCTGCTCTGTTGTGTTTCTACACCTGGAAAACACAATCCTTGGTGGGCAATAAGCATCCAGAGTAATCCTGGCTTGCCTTTGGAAGATTGAGCAGAAAATGTACAGTGGCAGAGAGGTGGACAATGCTTTCTGCATCATGACCTGAAATTTCTGTTTATACAGGGTAAGGAAAATACATTAAATAACTCACATGGAAATATATCTGTTGCTGCCTTTAATTTTGTCACGGGTTTCCTAGTTGTCTGCCATAATTTCCTACCAGCAGCAGTCTGGATGTTGTTTTGCTAGCACTGGCAAATATGAACCTCAAAGCTGCTTGTTTGGGTTTCAAAAATGGATTAAGGCGCCTGTGAGATTAGTTGCAATATGTGGCATGACTTGGGGCAGCCCTGGAAAAAGCAGTCTCCAGAAATCAGTTGCCTTTACAGCTTTGTTTTTGCAGCTTTTCTGTGAGATTTAAAAAGAAAGAAGGAACATGTTTCAGCTTAAGCTAAGGGCACTGAGTGCGGGACATTTATGGACTGGCAGATGTATGTTCTTTCTCCCTGCCCATTGATAACGCTGCAGTCCATGTGAAATGCCCTGCCTTAATGAGAAGTCTTCATTGTGGTCTTTAGAAAAAGTCTCCTAAGTGAAATTCCCATTCGTTTTAATAGTAAGTAATATATATGGACTTTGTATTGTCACATCTTGTCCAAGAATCTGAAAACACTGCTGTCCATGAGATCTCACCCTTGGGAAAGTGAGGGGGAGGCAGGAGATGGTGTCACGGCTTCGCTTTGTGGGTAATTTAAAGCACGCGGGGAGTCTGACTTACTCATTGCTGTATGAAGGTGGTTTCCTGAGACTGAAATGTGTGTTTCCCCATGTGGGCCCTGGTCCCAGGAGGTGATTCCACATTGCACAAGGCTGCTGCTTCTTCCTTCCTTTTGGTTTGGTGTAGAAATAGATGGTGGAATGGCTGAGAGAGTTGGGACTGTTCAGCCTGGAGAAGAGAAGGCTCTGGCGAGACCTTCTAGTGGCCTCCCAGTACCTGAAGGGGCTACAGGAAGGCTGGAGAGGGACTTTGGCCAAGGGCAGGGAGTGAGAGAACAAGGAGTGATGGCTTTAAACTGGAAGAGGGGAGATGGAGATGAGATGTGAGGAAGAAATTCTTTCGTGTGAGGGTGGTGAGACCCTGGCCCAGGTTGCCCAGAGAAGCTGTGGCTGTGTTCAGGGACAGGTTGGATGAGGCTTTGAGCAACCTGGTCTAGTGGAAGGTGTCCCTGCTGATGGCAGGGGGGTTGGGACTGGATGAGCTTTAATGTCCCTTCCAACCCAAACCACTCTGTGATTCTGTGAATACAGGATGGGACAGTGTCTGACCTGCAACTGCTTCCCCAGGGCCAGCAGTCCAGGTGGTGCTGGTAGCAGGGCTGAGAAGCTGATGCTGGAAGCCCGGGTGGACTTGTCTTTGGTTTGTTTTTTCCTTTGTGATAAAGATGAATTGGTAGCGATGAAAAATAAAGTGTTAAGGGTATGAGGCTGGAAAACTACCCACCCTCTCGGCAGAGGGGTGGAAAGAA